TGTAATCCACTTCGACTCTTTATACTAGTGATTTTAAAGACCAGTTGGTCAAAAAACATAATGTTCTAATAGTTTTTATGAAGAGTTGTACCTCTAACACGATATGTATGTACTAAAAATTACTTTGCTTCTCATTTAGGTGAATCGGTAAGGAGACACAGTTTTTTAAGAATATTAGATTAAAAATGACTAAAGATTTGAATTAAAAGTGTAATGCAATGCCATTACTGCTTATTTATATTCCCTGTCTAATCATCTTGAAGTTATATACAATAGTTTAAAATAATATATGTACATTTTATAAATATAAAGATGGACTATCTTTTTAACTATTCAAATTGGTATTAATCTAAAATTCAATTATTAATACATATATAAACAGGAAATTGTATTGTTACTTTCATAAATGTATTAATAAAATATTTCAAATTATAAAAATTAATGTATGTAGTTGTATTAAGTCCATCTCTATTTAATAATAGTATTATCTTAGTGACCATACCTCATTATTATAAATCAGTTAGAGTAACATAAGTAAGTGATGCTTACTAATTAGTTATACCAAAATACCTTAGCAGTAAAAATAATTAGTAATCAAATGTTTCGATGTTCATATGCTAGTGGTTTTAAAATTGATGTGTGTATTATACACATATGTATTTACGTATGAAATGAAATAACATCATTTGTATGTGAACATTCAGAAGTTTGGTTTTTATAATGCAAAACGTCAACATCTAAACAATTAAGGAAAAAAGAATCATCTTGGCAGCATGTTATTTATGGCAGCAATAATTTCGATGTGACGATTTTGCATTCTTGTTAAGTGCTATGAAGAATTTAAACATATTCACAATAACTAATTAACGTCTTAACTTCAAATTACATTTTTATGCATAGCGATAGTACCATAGACATACAAGATGAAAAAACAGGGATATAATTTTCCATGATCACTATGCGTTACTCGTAACATTAGTGCAACTTTACATATAAAATAGTTAACAGATTTAATTCGAATTCATTTAGATATTTTTTTTTGTGATGAAATAATTAAACATGTCTTCTATAGTTTTAATGTAAAGACAGAAAAAAAGTTGTGTGTGAAATAGCAAAACTATTGTTTCGAGGGAAGCTTCTGTATCATATAATTGTATAATTGTTAATTGTAATTTTTGAAGGTACGTTCATACATTTCCAAATTGAATCAGGCAAAGCCATAAGGGTCAATAGTTTTGCTAGAGCAAGGTTGAACGTCATCGGGTGGTGGTTGCCATTGTTCAGACCACATAGCTGTACGAGCCATAGCCATTTCCACTTTTTCAATGCTGGTACTGGACATACATTCCATCTCCCAATGGAAACCATTTTGAGTCACTTGCATTGAACTAGATTCAGTTATACCACAATAGTCCTGTGCGTTACTGTTCACTGGTAATTGTGAATTTTTATTTCTAACTTGCATAGAACCACTACCTCTGTGCTCAGCACTGGGCCAAGGACGAGACTGTTCTACCGATTGTAAAGGTAACTGTCGTGGCACCCGTCTAGTTTTGTTATCGTCTATAATATGACCACTATCAGTTTTGGTATTTATTAAATTTCCATCGCCCGTTGAACTAACATCACCGTCTTTTTTTCTCCTTCTTCTTCTCCTTTCAGTGTCAACATCATCTCTTTGAATTTCTTCAACATTATCTTCAGAAGGTAAGAAATGTTGCCTCGCAGAAGCCCAATGATCTTTTCTGGTAGCACCTTGCTTATATTTTGAGTGATTATCATTGCTATGGTGACCGTTATTCGTATTTGTATCACTGTCTGCAGTCTGCTTCCTTGATTGTTGAGTTTTCCATGAAGTAGGTCTTTTAGGACTGCGCTCTTTGAGAGTAACCTACGAAATTATATGAATTTATTTACGACTGTTTTATAAAAACAATGGAAACAGTGAAACTACTTACTCCAGAAGAAGAAGAATTGTCGACAGGTTTATAAAGTTGCGTTGGGGTATGATTGCGGCTATCTGGGCCCCTACAACTAGATCCACTGCGACCATGTATCCATGAAAGTAAAAATGCTAAGATAGCACAAGACAGTCCAAGTGCTGCTGCAGCAGACAACTGAGAACGAGTACGTCTTGGTACCCAACCTCCACTGTGATATTCCCATATAGAGCATGCTAGTAACGCACTACTCAAGGCATAAGATAAGCCTATACCAGTGAATATCCAAGCATTCTATAAGAGGTGAATTCTATCAGATATATCGATCAAAATTCAATAGTGCTTATAATATATATGAAACATTGTAGGTTCTATTACATAATATTAATATTAATGAAAACAGTATAAAGAGTGTGAAATAAATTATTGACTACTTACCAATTTAGCCCAGTTGAGAGGAAAAACATAGACAATGTGTGAGATATCAAGGAAGAGGAGCAATGCGGTGATCAAAAAACAGAAAACAGCTACAAAGATCATAAAACGCAGCCGTCCAACTAAAGGCAACATAAATAAGCTGACCTTGGCAGTACCAGAACTGCACAATGTTGCCAGACATGCTGCAGATGATATCTGTACAAACATAATAAAATTAATAATATTCCAAGGATTGATGTACAGAAAAATACTACAAAACTACGTACAAGCAGTAAGAGTCTAACAACACCAATAGCTGTCTTAAGATGTCCTTGTATATCACAATATAGAACCAAGTGACTTGCTCTTGGCCAAGCCAAAGCATTAGAGGAAGAGCCATGGTAATCGCCATAACCATAACCATGGTAATTAGCATGTGAATCCCATGAATGAACCCCTGGTGAATCCAGTTCCAAAGGTTGGGAGCTAATTTGCCCCCCTGAACGACTACCTGCTATTAATACAATATTAAACAATGTACACATTCATATTCTTTTTAAATATATTATGTTCATTAAATATAAAAAATGAAATTCATGGTATATAAACTTGATTATTCTATTTTAAATATACAAACTTATTTATGTTTTATTGTAAAATTTATTATTGCCATTTGTTTTGTTATCATTATCATACCAATTTCGAAGTCCTGAATATCTTCAGGTCTAGAATATGCAGAAGCTGGTAGTTCCAGGTCACGAATCTCTTCTAAAAGGAGAACTTCTATCTCGTCGGCTGCATATAAGTCCGAGACCGAGTGAAGATGATGCCGAGTCTCGCTCATTACTCAAGTACACTCGACTGTTTACTCCTTCCTGCCTGCCGACGATCTTTTCTAATTGCTCCACTATTAACCACCATTCGTTACACATTGAGCCTAAGAATCGCTCCATTTGTTTATTTGCCATTGTGTACACATACTGTGTGCCATCTCTATTCTTGCAAGCAATACCACCCCTCTCCCTTTGCACCACACCTAAAGGGATTCATTCAATATTGTCCAACAAGTTATCGAAAGTTTATTATCTGTTAAATTCACATATCAATAAAATAACATATAAGAAAAGGGAATAAATGTTTAAATTAAAGAAACTAACACAATTTTAAATAAAAATAATTTATTTTAAATGATAATATAACAATATTTAAAGTAACAAATAAAAACACATGAGAAAGTAAAAAATAACATAATCACTTAAAATTATTTGTATACGTCACTAAAGAAAAAGATATTACACTATTCTAATGCTATTAGATCACGTTCCAAAGAATATAGACACCTAAATTAACAAATATTTAACTCTATAATTAAGTGCTACAAATTTATTTTGTAAACAGATGAACTGCAACTAGTGGAGTCTCTTGAAAAAAAAAGTTCAAATCACTTTCTTTAGTACTCACGCATAATTACATATTTTAACTAAAATATTATCTTAAAATACACAATTGTATGATAAACAAAACTAGAATACAATCATTCCAGATATAAATCGTAAATAAAATGTAATGTACATGTCGTTTTTTACATAAGGTATTATTTCTCAACTTTAATAAAAATTCAACATAAATCAAGTAACAATGATAGCATGAAATTTCAACAACAAATTTTAAATGCTTCTTAATCCTCGTTCCATATCAGTTACATTCGACACGTATCAGAACATGTAAAACTGTATTTCAAACAGTTAATTATATTTTTCTAACAAACTATTCGTTAATTCCAAATCCACATGTGGTTGCATGTGACATCTATTAGAATGTAACGAGCTGTGCAAAAACATTGCTGTCACGGATTTAACGAGAAAACCGCCGATACGTACCTCGAATATCTTCTCGTTGAACACGAAGCTTCGATTACATTTTTCCAAAATTTTTCATAATAAATTCAGTGACCGTCTGAAGAATAGCCGCCATTGCCTTTTTGCTGTTTTTACCCATGATCTACGTTTATCACAGCGACCTAGAAACAATAGATGGAACAACTATCTTTTTCAATGAAGCTTTCTAATCTCACCACAAGGAGACTACAAAATTCTCAAAAGTGTATTTTCTAGCCGTGAATTCAAAAATATCCCTACTATAGAAAATTATGAAATAAAATAGTGTTACGAAATAAATTTATTTCGTCAATTTAGAAAAAATTCGTTGTCTTTTCATTGCGAGTGGGGAAAGCAGTGTTATTTAGTATCGAAATTCTATTATGCATTTCTAACACGCAAACCTAGGAAAAATTAACTGCACCTTTCCGCTACAGTTTATTTTAAAAATATTACATTGTGGTTCATGAAACTTAATTCTCTTAATGTACTATTTTTTTTTACTTGTAAAAATCATTATAATACATTACAAATGTTTTGATGATAAAATGGAAGTAATAGCATTTTGAAAACCAACTTTATAAAGTATTAAAGTGGATACGCAACATATATAAATTGTATCGAGTCCCGTTGTGTTCGTTTTTTGACGTCGCTTGCATTGGAATCACTCCTTAACAGGCTTTTCGTGTAATGACAAATTTTACTAAGAGTAAACTATATACAAATCATTACCTCGATCTGTCAGGTTGACAGCGAAAGTATGTGCTCGTATAATTCTCAATATTAGAATCGATATTATTACTTTTAACTAATTTTAAAGTGGTAATTATGTGTGTTAAAGAAATATGATACTTGTATGTCATTTATTTCATCGCAAATCCTGTTTAGAGGTTCTTCAAGTTTCTTCTAGCTATAACCATTAACCATAAACTTATATTTTAACCCAGTGTCTTCCATCATGACTTCATAGTAAGTGGTTTCATAATTTCTATAAAAATATTGTTATTCCGAAAATATATAACTTCAATAACATGTTGCATATAATTTATGCATTGGGTACTATTTATCACTCAACTAGATAACTTATCTATCCACTCATTTAAATAACTCTGTATCCGTTGTTATACATTCATTTTCATATTTTTCATAGCTAAAAATGTTAGTTAAGAAATAATCTAAATGTACTTGTAATTTTTAGCAACAGAAATGGACCAGGTATATCAGGAAATTCTTTCAATTGCTGGGTACAAAGGACCAATATGCATGATGATTCTGCCATCACAAAAATGCAACATCAGTTCTGGGTAACAAAACAAACTCTATCACGAAAACTAGGAAAAAAAGAAGATGAATGTATAGTGGCATCTGATGCAGGATTAGATGCCAAATTAGAATTGTTCCGCAGTATACAAGAGTCGTGTACTTACTTGCAAAGAGTCCTTGACAAATATCAAGAAAGATTATGCAGTAAGTTTGAATATGAATTAGTACATAATATGTTATATAACAAATGTATAGAGTAAATACAACGTTTAATATGCAAAATTTTGCATAGATCTTGCGCAGGAAGAAAATGCAATGGGCAGGTTCCTCAAAGATGCTGGTAAACAGGATAAAACTAGAGCTGGCAAAATGATGTTAGCTGTTGGAAAATCATTATCTTATTCCAGCCAACAGAGACTCGCGTTAAGAGCTCCATTAGGTCGATTGTATCAAGAAGTAGAAACTTTTAGACAAAAAGCTATAGAAGACACATTACAAAATGTTCAGGCAATGGAAAAAGCTCGTATAGAATATAGAGCAGCTTTATTATGGATGAAAAATGTTTCTCAAGAATTAGATCCTGATACATCAAAACAATTGGAGAAATTTCGAAAAGTACAAACACGTGTCAGATTGTATGTACTATGTGTTATTTATATTCATTTTTATATATGTTTGAATACACTTATATTTATTATACCTGTCCGAATACAGGGGCAAAGTGGCATTTGATAACTTAGCCTTAGATTGTCTTCAGAAAGTAGATCTTCTAGCAGCTGCAAGATGTAATATGTTCAGTCATGCTTTAGTTTTATACCAAAGCACGCTTTTAAATTTCACTAAAAAATCAGCACAAGCATACTCAACGATTGCAGCTAGTTTCAAAGGTTATCAACAATATGATTTCACAGTTGTAAGAGAACTTGCTGAAACATCTACCAAATTGGCTCAAGAAACTGGTGGAGACGAAGATCCTGATGATAAAGAAAAGTAAGTTGTAAATTTGAAGAAGTATAAAATACTGAGAACTGGCTAATAATATTTGTCCTATTGTAGACTACCATTTTTTGACATCGATTATCATGACAGTGTAGATGAAGCTGAAGAAGTGAAACCAGCGATAGACAATGTAATCGACACCGATAAACATGATGAAAAATTATTAGACATTGAATGTGACACAAAAGATATATTGGAATTTGATGGATTAGATATGAATTCTAGTTCTACAAAAAATGAAATTCTTCAGTTGGATTCTAATACAAAGCATAAAGAGGATCTCCATCAACTTTTTGACAACTTAATTTTAGATAACAATGTATCTTGTAAAAATGAACAATCAGTTATTAGTAAAGAAGAAGAAAATCTATCTAAACTACAAAAAAGTGTAGAACAAAATCTAGAACTGAATATATTTGACAAATCGGATACGAATTTCACTCTGAGTGATTTATCTTCTTTAGAATTACAAGATGCAGGAGAACAATCACTACAGTCCCTTACATCAGAAAATTTGGCTCTTTTAAATGAAATATTAGGTGATAAACAAGATATTACTAACGAATGGGAAACAATAGCTACTGATACTTTTTTACCACCGAATATTCTGAAACAAAGTTTAGGTGATGCAGCACTTGGCATAGGGCAAAAAGGCATGCCTACTATGAGTATGGACGACAAAGTAAGTGAAACTCAATAACATTAATTACTAAGTAATAATTCTTTTCTTTTTATTATAATCATAACATTCAGATGAACAGTATTTTATTTTACAAAACAATTATTGGTTTTGTGGAAAGACAATTTATATTACTTTTTTTGTTTTTGCTTCAGAAGAAAAACAAAACTGGAAAACAAAAAGGAAATTCCTGGTTGGATTTGTTCGCTGAATTAGATCCATTAGCTAACAACCCGATGGAAAATCTTTCCACTGACAGCAACGCATCTGCTTAATTTTTTAAGAAAACACTTGCATCGTATTACCGTGATACATAAAAAATTGCAGTTCACAGCAACAATCGGAAGAGACGATTTTATTTTTATCAAACAAGATAATACTAGGAGCATTATACCACTCTATACATTTATATTAATATTTCGTACTTATTATTTGAAACTTAACATTCCTGATGTGTTACATTTAATAATAGTAAGAAAAAGATTAATGGTAAGAATCAAAAGTATTTGAATTTCGTAAGTATCTTTCAAGATCTATACCAAAGATGTAAAATCTGATAGTTTATAAAAGTGTGCTAATCAAATACTTCTTTTAAATACATTACAAATATCGTTTCATGATAAGAAATAGAGTTATCAACTTTCCTACTTACATTTATAATAAAATATGGTCGTTGGAGTTAAAAGTATATATATCATACAAATATTTGTAATTTGCAATTACTTCACGGTTCGAATTCTTTGTTGTACAATCATTTTTAATATCATTGTCGTTATGGGATGGTTTGTATTTAGAAAATTGTGAAGTAATTAATTATGCGCTACATACATTTTCGTTCTTTTTAAATATGCAGAAACATTCAATATCGCTTTCTCGTTTAAATTAAAAATACATACATTATAAACAAATTACATCGTCGGAGGATTATCGTTTTTGTATTTTTTTTCTATATAAATATAAAATGCTTATGCATTAACAAAGTATAGGATCACAGAGTTAACACCAAAATATAATTGTATTTCAAGTATAAAAGAACTCTAAATCAAAACCTAATTTGCATCGGTAACATATTTTGCAGTTTAGGCATCATAGAATTGTGCCATGCAAGTTCTGACCCTGAAACGAAAACAATCAGAAATCGTTAAAAGAGTAAATATTTTCGTACAAATATATTGCTCTACCGAAACCTCATCAAACAATCAATCACGTAACACAAATAAATAAAATGATTTGAAGCGTTTTCGAATAAAAAAGAGAGAAGTTTTAACATTAAATGATTGTTAGTCATACTTATCAAATAACTGAAGTTCCTTGCTATGCCGCAATTGTTGTAAAATACGATAAAAGCCTAATTCTCTTAAACGTGCTTGCCGCTGCGCAGCTCCAGGTTCCTCCTTCCAGACTAGGTTGCACACACAAAGCACAGCCGCAACTTGCAGCTTTATATTGTTATGCATCTAAACATCAATATCAGAATAACTATAAATTATTACTGTGATTTCAACGATCTGTTACTTAAATATAATTCCTTATGTTACACAAAACCCAGGAATCTCAAACATGTTATATTTATTCTAATAAAAAAAAAGTATTAAAAATAAAAGCTTAAACATAGTAAAATAATATTCCAGCGTACCATATAGTCCGTAAGTTTTTTAAGCACATCTTCATTAGCCATAATGTGATCTTTTGCTCGATTGCCATCAGCTACATTCGCCAAAATACAGAGAGCTTGTTCTTTTACATCCGCCGAGTGTCTTGGATCTTCCAGGACTAATATAACAGCTTGCATTACATGAGCAGCATGTTCACTCATTATGCGATCAATGTGAGCGCTTGTGGAAAGTAAGTTTCGTAACAGACCCAGTGTTTTCATTAAAATTGGTACATCTTGATCAGCCAGAAGGCAAAAAATTTGATCGGTGCCCAAGCATGATAAGATCTGCAACTTAACTTGTTGTTCGGCTTGAAAAGCCATGTTCATCAATGCCCAAATTCCATTTAATCGTAAGGCTGGCATGCACCGTTTCGTAAGTGAACAGAGTAACTCTATTCCACCAGACTCAAGAATTGGTTCTTTGCTTGGACTAAATTCCAATAATAAGTTACATAAAGTACTCGAGGCAACAGTTAATAAATCAACTTCGCTTTCGCCTCTACCTATATGATATAATCATATTAATTATTATACGGCACATGATCGTTAATAAATCATTAGGATATACAAATTATTTATTTCTAGTCCGAAAATTGTATATCTCATGATTTAGCAACAGTACGAAAAAATGTGCAAAAGTATTAAACTCTCTTAGAAGTTCCCAATACGAAGGAATCTGTTTTACAATCAAAGTAATTCTGAAGATAAAATACGACAACGGTTTATGCGATATACAGTTCTTATTTTTGGGATGAATGATAAAGTATCATATTTTACCCTCCAATCCCTTTTCTGCTCCATGCAATAGCTGCATAAGTGGTCTCCAAACAGCGTGGTCTTGAAAACTTGTTCGAAGTTGTTGAACACTTCTAGAAAGAGAATGTAGACATCTGACCGCTGCTAAGCGTACATGAGAACCACCAGGATCTTGAAGACCCGACACTACTTGCTCCATAAGACTTTCTGTCTCTATGATACGTTTCCGTATGTCTTCGTCATTTGCACTAAGAGATGCAAATGCCCTGAACGCAGCTTGTCGCATATCTTGCGTTAATGTTGCATCTTGTACCTAAAAACATCAATGTAACCATGAACAAAAGATACATATATAAAGGAGGTCAATTTATAAATGTATCGAACATACGTGTGGATGAGGTCGTAACATTTCTGCGAGAGTAGGAATTAAGTGATTACTAATAGAAGCTAGACGTTGTAATTCAGTGTTGATTTCGGTAAGAAAAGCCAATGTCTCAGCTGCAGCTACTCTTTCACGAGGTGGACGATCTCGATAGCAGAGTCTTACCAAACAAGGTAAAGCACGGTATATAATTCTTGGATCTTTATATAATAGAACTCCGGTTCTATACATATATGTAACACATCTTGCAGCTTCGAGTTGAATTAACGAGCTTTTCTCACGGCCCATTAATTGCCCTAATACTACAGGTACATGTCTACTTTGTACTGTGTTACTAGTTGACGCCGAGGCAACCGTAACGCACACCTTGTAATTTTTATAACACATATTCGCTAGACAAGCCAAAGCTGATAATTGCACGTCAGGTAATGGAGAATCCAATTGCATTGCTAATATTCCTACTACACCCCCTTCTGATAATGCATTCTGCTCTTCTGTTGTCTGGGTGGAAATAATATGAATTATTATTCCAAGTTATTAGACAATTTATGCTGTCTACTTTTGCGCTACTTCTTTACCTTACATGCTGTCGTTAAAATTGTTGCCACGCATATTTGAGAAGTTACAGATCTATTTGCTAGTGACACTAATCTGGGCACTAATGCTGGATCTTGATATATCGAATGAACTGGTGCTGCTGGATGTTGAAATACTGTACGTAAACAACGTAAACATGCTTCATTTAACAAATCCATTACTTTTGGCTTTCCTTCTGGAGGTGTATCTGAGACAGGTGTAGATAATAAAACCTGAAATAGCAATGGCACAACACCAAGATCTATAAGTGCCAACACATGCTGATCCGTTCCTTTGGCCAAAGAACCCAAGGTCACTGCAGACTCAAGTCTTATACGGTCTCCGATTGTACCAGATGAATCTCCGAGGAGTTGTAATAATCGAGGTACTACACCTTGAGCTATTACCGAACCTTTTTGCCTATTACTTCCAATAACAGAATTCTTGAGACATCTATAAAATATAAATAAATAAATAAAAATAAATATAGATAAGAAAAATGTAAAAAGTTCCACACAAAATTATAAATAATGATATTAATGTATATATGAAAGTAATGATCATTGTTTGAAAGTGAAATATATACTTTATAAATGTCATATAATTAAATATGTTTCACAAAGTATATATTACCAAAAGCAGTGCAACATAATTTTGTTTCCTTAAGTAGGTAAAGCATATACAAGCCCAATAAATTCTACTCGTTTCAAAACATTTATCATTTTTTTAAAATGATATAATAGATTTGTTCTTAGATATTGCATAATAACTGATTAAATCACTACCTCTAGAAATATAATTTTCCTAACATATTTCTTGAATATTGTACTTTCAATTCTGCTTGATCCATTACATAAAATATGTAGCTTTTTAAAAACGAGATCTTTAAACATGGGCAAAATCTGAAATTACGTCAATAATTTCATAGTTTTGAATGACAATAGTCGAAAACAACTTTTATTGAAATAATAAAAAGATTATACAAAATGAAGGAAAGTATTTTAAACGATGTTATATTAATCATTTATATATAGTAAAAACTTCTAACACATGAATGGTCATTACTTTTATACATATCAAAGGCGTAAAAGCTTTCAACAAATAACCACAGAGGTTAAGTATAATATTCACTCACATAATAGCTTCCAAACATTTTTGGGGATCTGGCGAATACAGTTCATCGATGTAACTTCTGGAGCTCTCCACATCCTGTCACAGAATTAGACAGTCATTTATCTCTTAGAATTTCATAACAAAAACGAGAAATTCAGTTTAGATTGTCAAAAGCAGAAGGAAACCGGTAACACGAACGTCTTCCCGACATTGTTCACTTACCATGAACGGCTGCATCACCGAGACCATACTTCCACTCTTTCGCTTTTACATAAAGGAATCACAACGTTTACTCACAAAAATCTTGAATCAATTCACTGATCACCACGAGGAATCGTCGGACCGAGTTTGTTACGTGAACGCTCACTGTTTCATCTGGCAAGATTTACGTTCTGAAAAAAGTTTTCACCAATTTTAGGGTTGCCACCATCATGCAATTATTATACTATCATGTCTAGTAAACTATAAACTTCAAAATCCTTTCAAGCGAATATCAATGAACACAAAAAGTTCTAACTTTTGCAACTAATAATTGTTGTAAAATAAATTTTTTAACGTTTTTAATTAATGTCAATCGTTTAGATAGTAATTTTATAGCGAGAAAATGCAAAATATTATTATTGCTTATTGTATAAAGTTGTATATACTTAAATAAATCGTTACCTTGTATCTGTGGTATCTGCAAAATTGAAGATTTTTTGATTCGTATACCATAGTAACCTTTATGCAACTATTGGCAATCTTGAGCCTAATAAGTAGCGCGCATTTGTTAAAGAAGAAGATTTGGATAACCAGAAAGCTTCTATTTATTGAACAACGATACTCTTTGCTTATAAATGTTAAAAAATAATTGCATTGATTAAAAATCGAATCAAATATGATCATGGAATCATTGCATGAGTATTTAGAAACCGTGGCTGGATATATATTTGACAATGATAAACTGGTGAGCACTTTGAAGTTCTTTCATTGTTTTGATGTAGAATAGAAAAGATCTACCTTATGAATATTAAATTTGCTACTGTTATGTATCTTATTTTTAGAAATTGTTATGCTTTTAACAAATTTTTCTGCATATCCTTTGATCCTTTTTATACATTATGTTAAAATTTTAAAATATTTACTGGAACAACAATGTAGTTTTTTAAAAAGTATTTATCTTTTTCTTTTTCTAATACAAAAATGAGTAAAAATGAAATTGTTTTATTATGCTTAAAAACTTCAAATAACTGTAGGTAACATACAAATGGTTGAGTAAAGAGCTGGAAGTTCATGTGAACATTGCCAAGCAGATTTTATGGGAATTTTGGCAACAGAAGAAGAATGAGAAGACTTTTGACTGTACTTTTTTATTGATGGGTACTTTAGAAGATGGTGGCATGCGTGTTGAAGTTGTAAAAGAAAAAGACTTATCAACAGCCAAAGAAAAGTTTAATAAAATTATGTCCGAACATGTTTATAGTCTTCAAAAAGTACTTCCTGAAATACAGATACTTGGGCTTGCAGAGAATGGAGATATTAAATTCAGTGGCATTAAATGCCTTGAAAATAATGAACGCAATGATGAAGAAATGCACGCTTTGCGCTGGGGCATTGCATCAATCGAAATGCAATTCATTCCTGAAGAACAAACATCTGCGCCTCAACCTATTAATGAAAAAAAGGAAAAAAGTCCAGAGAAAAAATTAAATGATGGTAAGAAGAATGATCAAAAGAAAGGTTATAACAATCTCTTTGGAAAAGCTAGTAATAAACAAAAGAGTCCATCGACATCATCATCATCTAACTCAGAAAAAATGGATGCAGACAGTTCCAAACAAACAAAGCATTCACCTAAAAAAGATACATCTGAATCATTGAAAAAAACTGTACAAAAAGGTGGACTCAGCAGTTTTTTACAACAAGGTAAAAACCAAATAAAATCTGCAAATTCTGTGCCCCCAAAAACCAAAGAAACTTCAAATCCTGCAGTGAAGGAAGATGTGGTGAAAAAAGTTACTTCTGAAAATAAAAGTAGCCAACAGAAGAATACACGTGGAAAAAAACGTAATCGGAGTAAGGAAACCAATGCAAATTCTAAAAAACGGAAACGCATTACCGTACAAAGCGATTCCAGTGAGTCCAAATCATCTGATGAAGAAGAAGAAGAAGAAATTCCATCTTCTCCATCACCAAAAAAGGATTCACCTGTCAGGATGCATTCTCCATCTCCACCAAAAGTCAAACATGAGGATGGAAAACGTAAGGTTTTAAAACTAGTAGATAAAACGTATCAGGAGGATGGGTATCTGGTAACAAAAAAAGTACATGTTTATGAAAGTTGTTCAGAAGAGGAACCAGAAGTAACAGAACCAAAGAAATCTGTAACACCTGAAGCACGTCCTGAATCAAAAGGAAAAAAGAGTACAAAACAAACAACTTTAAAAAACTTTTTTAAAAAATCATAATATATAATCATTTCTATTGCTTGAATAGAAATGTTTACATTATTATATTTTACACTATTTTCTTACAATGTAAAAATACGAATAAAGTTTATTATTTTAGAAATGACAGCAATTGTATGTGTAATTATCTAGATTCTACAGAAAAGATACAGATTCACTTGCTAAATACAATTATCAGATATGTTATCACAAGTAGAGGTAAGCTTGTGCTACACCCTTTTCAGTATGAGTAACAGCAACCATGCTGTGATTACTTAAGTATAAAATATCTTTGGTGTGAATTAAATTTTACCAGACAGAATGTCTATTCATTTGTGTTTAACTATTTTTTATTTCTTATTTATGATATCGAATTCTATGTGTAATATATGTTTAACATGTTCATGTACAACTACATGTAAGTAGTAGTGTAAGTAAGTGTACTAAGTAAGTAGTACATGTAAACTAATAAAATGACGTCAGTGTTGTATATAGAATTTAATTTTTATGTTGTAGTGAATGATGGATCAATAATAGATTGTCATGCAAAAAATTTAGGAAGCAATGATGTACTTCATTATTACTTATTAATGTTGAATGAAACTCAATCATTTGACAAACTTATTTTGTCAAAAAACAATATAGTTAATTTATCAGAACATTTAATGAAAAGATTAAAACTTTTGAAGAACTTAGATTTATCTGAAAATATGATGAATGAAATATATACGAGAACTTTTATAGATATGTATAATCTTCAAAGTTTAAGTCTCTCTAAAAATAACTTATCTACATTCGATGATTCTGTAGTAAAAGTTATTCCAGGATTGTTGAGATTAGATCTTAGTCATAATCATATTAATACAATAGAACATACAATAGATAAAACTGTAACAAAAATTAAATTCTTAGATCTTTCTCACAATAGTATATTTAATATATCTCAGAACTTTTTTGATTCTCTATCAAATTTACAATATTTGGATTTATCATTTAACAAGATTCGCTCTTTGGAAAACATTAACTTTGTATATTTAAAATTTTTGGAAACTGTTTATCTAAATAATAATTTTCTTACGTCATTATATGTGCAGATATTTCCAAAATCATTAACAAAACTTTTTGCTGGATATAATTCAATAAAAGAAATATATTATGAACCATCTCGAATTGAAGTACTAAGTGTAGAGTTCAACTACATTTCTGAAGTACAATCAAATATAACGTCATTGGAAAATTTACAACATTTAAATATTAGTGGAAATGAGATATCAAATTTTCCAAACATTTTACTTAAGAATTTGAAAACTTTAGATATATCTTACAACAAATTATATTACATTTCTAAAACATTATCTATGAAAAATTTTCCATTACTAGCTCAACTTAATGTGAGTAAAAATCCTATTCAAAATTTAACATTTTTCTCTGATTTAAAATTACGCTCATTTGTTGCGAGTAATATAAGTGCATTATTAACTATTGATGAAAATACATTCACAAAACTGATGTCGCCATTAAACGAATGTATTAATCTCACTATATCTAATAATGAAAAGTTATATTTTATTCATGAACATGCTTTGGATCATTTAAATTTATGTTCGGTAAGTTTCAGAATGTTTTAACAAGACTATTATTTAATAATTAATTATGTTTTTATTATTATTAGTTGGATTTAAGTAATAATCAAATCAGTTATATTGCACAAAAATTAGCTGTACGCAATACTAGTTTTTCAACGTACAGATTGAATTTACAAGGAAACCCATTCAAATGCAATTGTTCATTGCAATGGATGTTAAGTGATGTAGTACCTAAACTATATTCTACACATCCTGATCTTCTAGTTAATTTGAGGTATATATTTCAATAGATTTGAAAAACTAATTGATTTTAACAATATTTATAATTAAACAGAAAATGTGTTTATTATATTTTAATATATTTTATTATATTCTACTAGATGTGCTTGGCCTCCAAAAATTTCAAACATAAGAATGGTACATTGGTATGGATGGCACAATGAAGTGTTTTGTAGCAATATGTCAGATTTTAATGAGGAACTCACAATGAATGTAGCTGGTGTATTGACTGATACTCAAGTGGTAACATTTGACTCTAGTCCTGGTCTGCTTGCTGTTCTAGGAGTAACTATTGGAGTACTATCAATTTTGATGATAGTAGGCATTGTTTGGACTCATAAACTATATATGAAAAGGAGAAGAAGGAACAGAAAATTTTGACATTACGTACAAATTTATTTATCTTTCATGTTCTACAGAGAACATGTAGATGTTCTCCTTATTTTAAAGAATGTAACATTTTGTAAAAATATGATTTTCCTTTGCTTAAAAAACTGATTATTAAGTATTTGTCATATATAATAATATAATATTTATAATATTTTTTTAATTGCTCTTGTTTTGATCGAATAAGCTGCCATAAATGTTTCATAAGTAAACATGAATTGTAATTCAAATTACATATTTGTTATAACTTATTTATACATTAAAATCAATCACATTATATAGTCACAATAAAATATACTTCAGTAATGGCACAGTTATTATATGTTTTATTTTTACATGATTCATTTAGGTCTTTTTACCTATTCACTGTAAAATTACAAAAGCTAACTTTTTAATTAATTGCACAACGCAACAAATATAAACATTGTTTAGAGTTACTTAAAGACTTTTCTACATTGATTGTATTAAAAAAATGTTATGAACACAAGATACTTCTTAAAATGAAGAAATTAAAGAAATATAAATCGTTCCACTTTGAAACATTGACTAAATTTGAATACTATTACAATAATAGAAACAATAAAAAATGTTTACTTTTAATACTTAATATACTTGCAAATATGTACATATATACATACACACATATATATTTTAACTTTATCAAAAATTTAAAATAAACACATGCACACACATACATATATAATACTAAATTCACATACATAAATACTTCAGCACTCATTTTAGTTATGTATATATTTAAATATAAAGAACAGCCAACATTCGATGCAAATAGTTAAATTAAAATTATTGACATTTTTACTACCTCAAATTGATACGGATAAAAGTCTAAAATATTGGAAGGATTCGTCTTTCATTTGACCACTTGCGAACTTTAATTGAGACAAATATCTTCATTAAATCTAAATTAGAATAATTCGTTGATTTCTGGTAATGTCTTTTTTTTGTTGTATCACTAACTTTAGTGTTCATTATCTCAATATATTTGAATAGAAGATTGATCCCTGTTAATTATGAGCTAAATTATAATTGTAACAAAATTAATGATCACAATAGAAATTGATAAATAGATTTAATTGTATTATGCTAAGCTCTCTATTCCTTAAAATATGTATTGACCTAGTACTGAACAACATATAATAAAATATAGTCATCGTTTTGGACGTAAAATGAGCATTAAAATTTTTTTTATTATATGTCATCTATTTGCCAATGAGTAGATGTCACTTGAGCAGGAGGGTTCTCCCTTAATTCATTTAAGAAAGTACATATGTTTTGGTAGTATCCTGGTTGACACCATGTCTCATTATGTGTGCCGCCTGTAATCTGAAGAATTTTTTTACAAGGACTTCTGCAATTTTTGTAGAGATCTTGCATCATGCGCGGCGGTACTAAAGTATCTGCCAATCCCGAAATAAATAACGTAGGTACGGTTACCGACCGCACTTTAAGAATGGATAGGTACTGTAAACATAAACAGTCATTTACACATGTATAGTTTAATTTGAAAATAATGGAAAAAGTTTAAATTATTGCATTAAATTGAAACATTTTATGAAATAAAATCCAATTATAAAAAGACATTTTACCTTATTTTTATATAGAAAAAGTGGAAGATATTGTAAAAATTTTAATCCGAATAACAATGCAGCCATATCAGGAATACTTGTGAAAGTGTTCTCTAGAATAAGGCACCAAATTTTTTGAGAACTCTCTGGCTTTGTAGCTAAATTAATAGCTACTGCTCCACCTATGAAGTTAGAAATAATTTATGCAATACGCTGAATGTATGAAATAAATTCTTTAATATATGTTAACCACTGCAAGTACATATTACCTAACGACCTCCCAAATACAATTATTTCATTAGTATTTATGTCGGTTCGACTAGATAAATATTCAATTCCAGCACAAGCATCCATATATAAGCCTTCTTCAGAAGGCGAACCTTGTGATAGTCCATATCCCCTATACTCCAGCATTAAGATATTACATTGGACAGAATAATATAATTCAACTGCATTTTGAAGCCTAAAATAGTTCTAAAATTACTATTGTTATTTTTCAAATAAAAGTACATACAGTGTACCATACTTTAACTATGTTAGCAAATTATTATTTGTTTAACTTTGTTCATAAAAAATTTTAATATATTTCTATTAATAAAATTTCAAATACCTATTATAAGTAAAATATTCATATATACTGACCTATGACCCATATTGCCAGCATTGCCATGAAGAAATAATAAGGTAGGTACCTTTTTTGCTTTATCTTTTGGTTTACAAATAAAAAACATGTGTAGTATTGTACCATCCCCTGATTTAGTATATATACTCTGGTAAGGTAAATTAAATATCGAAGGTGCAGGAACATATACCCGAGAATTGGCTGGCCATTCTGGACGATACACAAGTTGATCTTCTCTATGATACAATATACCTTTAAAGATAAATAAAGATCTATGCAAACATCATTAAAATTATAGAATTTGATTAAATAAGATAATCAATTATACCTGTAGTAGCAAAACAAAGAAGAAAGAAGGCTGATATTCCACCATACAACCAGTACAAAAGAAAACAGGCAAGTATGTAGGTACCACAAAGAGCCCAACATTTCATAGCTATACTTCCTAATATACGAATGGGTTTACTTCGAGCAAGGCGCACACAGAACGACATGATTGTTCTGCAATATCTCTAATTAATTGACTAATAATCATCTAATGCACTTATCGTCTTCACATATATACTTTTATACATCCTAACACAATCGTGATACTAAAATTCAGTATTGCTGTTATCATTAGAAAATTTATAACCTGAAATTTCTATTAGAATTACTATACAGGATCATTCATTACACTAGAAACTCATACGTGCAAGCAAGCTTAAGTGGCAACAGCGCGACATATATAAATACCACTACATTCGCATAAAGACACTTCTACCATCTATTGGTTATTAGTAGAAGTTAAAATTTACAACCACAGACTGAAGATACATAGGTACATATTTTTCATGTTGCGGTCTTAAATAGTTCAATAGTTGACCGTTTGATTTAGATAGAGTCCGTTAGTGTATCAGGACATTTTTTACAGTGTCGATATTTCAGAACAGTAGACAGAAAATGCATTGTATGCATAGTCTGTACATACTTAAATCTGTGAACAGTGTGGCCAGATTGGGGAAATTGAGGGGAATACAGTTACTCTCTCCTTTGCGTTACGTGTGGTTCTGCGGCGGTGCGGAGGTTGTTGGGAGATGCGGAATGGAGTTGTAGATGAGGAATGGAGTTGTAGAAGGGGTACAAAAAAGTGGGAGAAAAGACTTTTTCTGGCTTCACTGGTTCGACACACCTGATTTAAAATATAAATTATAAAACATGATAATATGTGAAAGCTATGTTTAAGATAAATTGATAAGAACCGTTAAAAAAGCGCTAGCATTTGTCAGAGTCACCTATACTTAAATAATAATTAGTCTATCAATAACCAATAGATGGTAAACATGTTATTACATAAGTACTATAGTGATACTTACCATATGGCACTGTTGCCATATACTTTTGTATCGTACGCCGACGAATTCTAAGTTTCGTGAACAACCCTGTAAGTATACGTTCTGTAATAGTAAATTACATTTCTACTAATAAGTAAATGTATATTATCTCATGAAAAAATTTATTACACTAAAATTTTCTTTATAAAGCTGAATTTGTACCCATTAAAAAAAGGTCGAGAAGCATTGATTCAAAATTGATATTGTGAGAATATACTGGTTATAGGTTATACCAATAATGTATCGTTGGGTACGCAGGTTTAATTTTTCTTCTCCATGAATGATATACTCCATATTATGATCTCATGTTAGCCGTAAAACTGTTTTTCTATGTAAAAATTGGGAACACGTTTATAGTAACGATCGGAAAATAGTATCGTGAGCTTATCACGTGTCATTATCAATATCCAATGCTGTATTCCGATTACTCTTAACTAATGTTCTGTAACTATATAATACTATCGTGCATCTTCACATTCCTCAGTCAAGTTCCATTCACTGCGACGGGTTCACGCATGATTAAAAATTTGAGAGCTATCTAAAAATTGGTCACAAATAATGGAGAAAATATTAGTTGAGCCACGGGACGGATCTGTGGTGTCACGTTTGTCTAACCTTCTTCAAACGAGTGCCGAAGAAGCACTTGCTGATGGTGATGCGTTTAAAGTTGGATTATCAGGTGATATGCTTGATTAAATATTGATTCAGTTTTTTATTTTTAAAATAATAGAAAATTACGATTAATTATTTATTGTGTCCATCGAAAATGTTACTAAATACATTTTACTTATAAATTTATTAATGTACGTGCTTTTAAGCCGCGGGAATGTATAGGTTAGAAATCTATAATGTTTATCATTATTGGAAACAGGTATACAAGTTTATAGTTCTGTTGTAGATTTTTGGAATTTTCAAAAAGATACCATATATTTTACATATTAAGAAACACTCGTATTGGTTGTTAAACTTTTAAATTATAAATGTTTATGATACAAATGAAAAGAGTGCTTTAAAATCTGTTCTTTAATTTTCAAATTATAATTAATACGTATATTTTCATCCATTTTTATGTTTATATTATTGAGTCAATAGAATTATTTTGTAGATTAAAGATTTTAATAATACTCATTTGTATCAGGGGGGTCTTTGGTACAACTGCTGGCAGAGGCTTTACCTAGCATCACAACTGATTGGAATAAATGGTACTTCTTTTTCTGCGATGAGCGAGTTGTTCCTTTTGATAGTAATGATTCAACTTACGGAGAATACAAAGCAAAATTGATTGGAAAAGTACCAATAACTGAGGATCAATTTATAAAAATTAATGCCGACTTATCTGGTAAAATGATAATATCTTTAAATCTATTTTTCCTTTCATTCAAAGATATTTTTATGTTATCTGATAAATTGTCCTATTTACAGCTGAAGAAGCTGCAAAAGATTACATTAAGAAGATGTCTGTATTCTTTCCCCCCGACCGTGTCCCGTGTTTTGATGTGCTTTTATTGGGATTGGGTCCTGATGGACATACGTGTTCGCTTTTTCCCGGTCATAAAGTTTTGAATGAAGCAAGTTTATGGGTTTGTCCAATTAATGATTCTCCTAAGCCACCTCCATCTCGTATTACTCTTACACTTCCTGTAATAAATAATGCAAAAAAATGCATATTTGCCATTACGGGATCTAGCAAAGCAGGTGTTGTTAAGGTGATTATATGTCGCTGAAATTGTAGACAGTATTCTTCCAGTTATGTTCGTATAAAAACTATATTTTTATTCTTATCATTTAATATCTCACAGAAAATCTTGCAAGATAAAGAAAATTTACCTGCTGCTCGTGTACAACCACACAATGGGGAATTATACTGGATCCTAGATGAAGATGCTGCAAAATTTTTAGATGCTGTCTAAGGATATTCGATAAAATTATTTATAACATTCCACATTGGTATCATGTTCTGATGCTTAGTATATTTTTTGGGCTTACTATTTTGTATACATATATATGTGCATTTTACTTAAAATATTTAATAGATAGCGCAGTTTGCGAGAGAATTTCTTGCTCGACGATTCGTTTGACATTGGATAATATTTGAAATATATTAGGTTGTTCTATTCTGCATTTTAATACAATTTTCTGATACTTTATTTTTTTCAATAATATTTGTATATACTGAATAGATATATAATATATATTATAATAAGATGAAATATTTCACATCATTTTACAATTTGTTGTTATTCTGAAAACGTGCAATGTAACCATCAGCAAAATTAGTGAACAAGCTTAAAAAATTCGTACGAAAATTAATATTTTCAGTAATAAATTAATCATGTTCCTAACAAGTGTACAAGTATTCGGTATACACTGAGTCTATAATTAATGTTTTATTTGTCCTTTTTTTACTAGGTATATAAAAATATAGCTATATTTATTTTTAGTTAAATATAAAAATATAGAAAACAAAGGTCAAGAATATTTTAGATTAATAAATGTGTATAGTACAATCTGCTTCTATTTTGTAACAACTTTTTAATAAAAAGAATATATTTAAAATGGAAAGATTATTTTAAAAACTTATGATTTTATTAATAAATAAGGAAAATAGTATGCAGTTATAACATTGAGATTATTAGTAGTAAAACATAATAAAATACACAATTTCAATAAAAAATCCTGTACTACACTGAAGTAGGAGTATTATGAAAAACTACTAAAGTAGTAACAAAATTTCTATAGAATTATTTTATTTGTTAGAATAAATAGTATTGTCTTCGTTTTCATACAGGAGTAGATATATCAAGAATAATGTAATAAACAATTATATATTTGTTTGGCAAATCATAAGAGATATTCTTTGGTGACTGACATAAGACTGTAACAGTAGGTAAATAGGTATACAATAAAAAGTGACTATTTTTATATGAAGCACATCTTATGTATATTCTTAAATGGAATTAATGTTATTAATATATATATATATAATAGGTAGAGGCAGGAATATCGTTTGTAACATGCGATTAAACATGTATCATCTGCCACCAGTCAAATTCAACAATCAGTGTCAACTATTTAGGAACCAAATTGTTTTACAATAATGTATAAATTATGTTTATTCTTTACAAAAGTCTTAGGTGTACATGAATATCGAGCCATAAGAAAAACTAAAATATTTTTCACCAATTCGCATTGTTTCTTAATTAGAGATAAATGTCAGTTTTACTGAGAACTGTGAAACGTTGTATATTTGATTTTTATGTGACCCAATAAAAAAGTCTTTTATAGCTCTTTTAATTTATGAGAATTATTTACAAAATGTTTCTTCTGAAAAAATCATGACTGTCCTATAACTTAAAATTATTCCAAATATCAATTCGAATCACAACATTTTTTTTTGTCAAAAGAATCTAAACTGTAAATGCTGTATTACCCAAAACACGGGTTCTATAATTTTGCATTTAAACATACTTTTGCCTGTACAAAAAGTGATGAAAAACAGTGATAAGGTACTTTTAATTTTATGAACGTAATACCACGAATTATAGATTACGTTCATCCAGAATGCTTTATGAAGATATCGACTATCACCACCATCACTTGTCGTTCGTAATTGTTCCTATTTAAAGTGAGAAATGAATAGACGCGATTATAAATACTATTTCAAGATTATACACTTTCATAAAGCGTCACTGTACATATTTATAATATACACGATGTACACACTTCGTTCGCAAAATTCATTAGCTAAACGATGAATTATATTGGAACAAACGTGTGACAAGTAATGCGTTAATGGTGTTAATGCCCGTTCGTAGAGCAAGTTTTAATATACGAACTATAAAAAAGATCAGTGAAACGTGCAGTTCTCTAAGTGTGATTCACAGCATAACATCCTGGTGGTGAAGGGTCTATTATTTATCAACGTATGACAAAATAATACAATTAACGAAAATTAAAAGAATTTTCTTCAATTCGATGTTATGCACTGAATCACGTTTCCAATTTAGCTTATAACCGTACATATCACAGTATCAATATAACCCTATTCCCCCCTGTTTTCGCAATTTATAACATTTTCTAATATATTTGTTAAGGAATACATTTGTTTACATTTTGATAAAATCATGTTTAATGCGATTTATATGTATGTATATATGTATTAAATCGTTTTTAGAACATCTTGCAGATTACGCGTGAAAAATTTCATTTTCGTCGTATTGTAACAACCAAATGTAATGTTTCCATTGTTTTTTCAATAAAAAAATAAAATGAAATTATAAGTCATAATACTTCTGTTCCAAAAATCTTTGTACTATCGTTTCTATTTTGAAATTAACCATCTACACATTCATTCTGCTTCTTGAAGAAAAAATATGAATGTAAGTCATAACAGGGAGTACGACTGAATTATTAATGCAATGTATCGAATATATACACGAAGTATATATACGATTGCATTAAGGTATTACAAATTTCCTATGCTGGCCATTTTATTATAATTAGCCTCTTGGTTGAAATTTTTCACAAACGTGTGTTAATCGATATACGTCGACAGTATTGGTACGTTCGGGAGAAATAGAAATAGTGAACGCTTAAATAATCGAAAAAGCCTCAAGTTAACAATAAATAAGCGACATTACGTTCAACAAGGGGCAGAATATGCCTCAATTGCTCATTACACTAGCCGATGATCGAAGGGCTTATATAACTTTAGATATAGTTGAAGAATAATTTAATTAAATTAATATCGCCTAACATAAATATTCATCACGTCATATTGACGCCTAATAACCTCCTGATATTTTCGTACACCATGTAGCTAAT